TATATATTGAGGCAGTATCTGGCTATATTGCCCAGGCTGGACTTGAACTTACAAATCTCCTGCCTTGGCCTCCTGAGTAACTGGAACTACAAGTGTGCACCACCGTTCCTGGAGGGGTTGGTTCTTTAACTGCCATAGGTTGGAAGGGCAGTGTAACTAAGTGATATAGTGTATGCTTAGCCTGCTGGAGTCTATGGGTTCAATCCCCAACCCTTCCAAAACATAAATAATAATATCAAATGGCATAGTTTGCTTTATTTGGTCTCCTTTAAAAACTTGACTTTAGGGGCCAGGTAGATAGCTCAGTAGAATAAGTGCTTGCTTGGCAAGCGCAAGGGCCTGAGTTCAATTCCCAGTTCCACAAAAAACTTGACTTTAATGTATGGCGAGATCCATTGAAGAAGCTGGGAAAGCTGAAGGCTGGCTGAAAATCACCCCTAGTGTCCTCATCATGAAGTTCTTGCCAGATTGACCACTGGCCCTCTGTATTGTCCCTCTTCTTGCCACCAATCCCAAAAACCGTGGTTTTCTATGTAGGCCATTACAAAAGCCTTGACATGTCTGTCTGAAGAGTAAGGTTTCCAGTAAAATATATATCTCTCAAAAAAAACTTTTTTTTTTCCGGTGATAGAGGTCAGTGGCACAGCCCCTGCCTAGCAAGCACAAGGTCTTGAGTTTGATTCACAGTACCAAAAAAAGAAAAAAAAAAAAAAATGTAAAGCAAGCACCATAAACCTATCCCACTAATGTCCCTAATGCATACATTTTTTTAAAAAAAAGTACTAAAAGTGTCTAAAACAATTTTCTGAGTGCAGGATGTTGGCGAACATTCTACCTGCTCTTGTTTTAACCAGTTTAAACTATTCTGTAAGGACTAAACTTGTACAATAGCCACTTCACATCCATATGCATATGTAGGAGGAATCTCCAGAATTGGAGATGATATATGGAGCAAGTATATGTCATCTTGAAAACACAACCAAATTGCACTTGGTGAAATTCGTACAGGGGTGCGCCACCACACCTAGTTTCACTGGCTGGCTCAGCGTAGAGGCCCAAATGGCATGTGGTACCAGGCAAGGAATGAACCCAGGTCCTTGCGCTTGCCAGGCAGCCACTTAAACGGCCAAGCTATCTCCCCTAGCCCTAAAGATCATCTTGGACCCGTTTAAATTATATCTAGAAACTGGACCTGGTGGAGTATGCCTGTAATCCCAGCATTTGGAAGGCTGAGGCACAAGGATAGTTCTGAGTTTGAGACCAGCCTGGGCTATAAAGTGAGCTCAAGGCCAGCCTGAACTACACAGTGAGACCCTGTCTCAAAAAGACCAAAAAAAATTATAGCTAGAAAAATTAAGGGAAAGAAAACAAACTGATCTACCCACAAATGACACAAAAAGTGGGGCACCAATGTCGTGCTTTACCATCAATAATCTTGGCACTGCACAGATCCTGTATTCCTAATACAACAATAAGCACTGCAACTCTCATTGGTTTCCTTCTAATCTATCCACAGATTTTAGTAATTTTAGGTAGATGAACATCACTAAACTGAATAAAGAGTTAATTTCAAATATTAGGACAGACACAAAAAGATGGTAGTGATAGTAAGATAAGGAAAGAAAAAAGATTACAAAAGAAGTGGTTTGGGTTTTTAGTCAAAAATGTATAAACAATTTCTCCCTCCCTGAATGGTGCCAAAGTATTTAGCACGGTGTACTGGTTTTGTTTAAGAGGGAAAAAGTTACATTTCCCTTCTATGTTTTTTGCAGTTGTTTTCTACTTTAAAGCCTTTTTCTCATAATAATTTGTTAGTTTTTGCGTGTGGCCAAAGTAGAAAGAAAACCATTTCATACCAGATAAGGACAAGTAAAATGGAACAGGAAAGATTCTCACAAAGTCCATCTCACAAACCAGTATGATGGGGCCAGGGAGATAGATGGCTCAGTAGAATAAGCGCTTGCTGGGCAAGTGCAAGGACCTGAGTCCAATCCCTGGTTCCGCAAAAAAAAAAAAAACAGTATGACACTCTTTCCTGTGCCTGGGTTTCAAGAATAAGGATTGTACCACTCCTAACAGACTGAGGTGATTTCCTCCAGCCAGGTGAGCACCTCTGTGTTTAGCGCCTCCCCACTGACACACAGGTTCTGGCCTAAGTGCTTACTTGTCAGAGAAGGGAATTTAAATTCAATCTAATGAGTACATAAAAAGCTCGGATTCTAGTTTTTTGGTTATGGAGATTTACTCCTTGCTTTGCATTCCCTTTCGTAACAACTGACCATTTCCAATATTCTGTCTGAATTATTAAGAGGTACTGCTTGCAACCTCAAACAGACTCTTCAGTTTGCCCATAGAAAATTATAATCAGGGGCCAGGGAAATGGCTCAGTGTGCTTCCCTGGCAAGCACAAGGGCCTCAGCTCAATCCCCGGTTCCACAAAAAAGAAAAAATTATAATCAAAGAAGAGGAAAAAAAGAATGGTAGCCCCAGGCCTTTAAACCAATACCCTGGAATCTAGCACAATAACTGGTAGCTATAGTAATATCAGACACCATTATTCATTTCTCTAAAGAGACTATTTCCTGTGAATGTTGTCATTCATTCAACAAACATTCACAGGGCATCTGCCACATATATGCCATGTGCTGTGCATACCATTGTTTTGATA